CACCACCTCGCGCACAACCGCGTTCCTTGGCGTTGGCCGCCGCGTTTTTCAATTACGGCGCGACGACGCTACGTCCGCCGTGTGTTCCGGCTTGGTCAATTAGCGAGATTGATTCTCAGCGAGTCGAACCGTATGTGATTATTTTCTCCGACGATCTTACGTAACGTAAGAGGCTACTCGGCGAAAATTAAAATGAAAATTCAATTACAAAATCGAATTTGTTTGTTTCTCTTTAAATTTGAGTTTGTTAGAATTCCTTTGTTCTTTTTTCTTTCTTTATTTTGATGAACAAGAGCGAGAAAAAAGAAAGGAGAGAATTTTACTAATTGCTTCAAAATTCTCGAAATGAGGGGCTGTTTCTATTTTTAGCGATTTGTTTTGTCTAATCTCGGCATGCCCGGATTATATAAAATTCCCGTCAGGAATGAGGTACACGCTCGATCTCGGGACACGCGTGCGTGAGAACTCTCCGCGTCGCGAAATCTAAAAGCGCGAAGAGAAGAGAGAGATCGCGCGAGAAATCGGAGGAAACCTTGGTATATACGTTTACCCTCGTTCGATCGCCATGGCGCGCGCTTTTGTACGCGTCCTCACGTACGACTCGTTCGATCTTTTCCGCGAAACCTAAGACACGTCGCCTGACGTGGAGAGAGGAGGACTCGCGGCGCGCTCTATTCGGCGTACGTAAATACCCATCTTACCTTGCCTACCTGCTCGTTCGCCTGCCTTTGCGCTTACCAACGAGCGCGCGCGCGCACGCGCGTGTACACGTATAAGTCATAGGGGCCCCGATGAACTGACGGACGAGGCAGGCACAAGGCAGGCCTGGTAAACAGGCAAGCGGCCAGATAGCCTCGCAGCGGGATCCTACGTGGTTTCACATGTCCGCTTCTTCGATCTCCTTTAAACTCGGCTCGGATGGAGGACATGGCCGCGAATATGCGGATCGCGCGCGAATTCTGGATCAGAACGCCACGACCGCCGACGACGCTCGCGCGACTTCAAACGCGACAAGACAATAACGCCAGGAAAATACTATCGAGCGTTACTGCGCGCAATTACTCGCGTATTAGATAATATATAAAATTGCACATATAAATATTTTTGTGCGTGTAGAATTTTTTGTGTAAATAGTAAAGAAAAAATAACGATTTCAAACAATGAAATGTTTTCATCGATCCAAGACTCTCGCGTTGATCGCCAACGTGGAACACCCACCGCACAGAAAATTTAATTACTTGGCTGTCGCGGGAAAATCGACTTCTTCGGAAATACCGAGCACAATTTAATTAATTTCCTACGCCTACGCGCGCGATGTTAAATTACTGTGCCTTCTTCGAAAAGATCGTGCGGAGAGAATCGGTCATGCCAGCGATCTTTCCAATATCGATTTCGTTCACTTTGCTTTGCGATTGTTCACCTGACGGTTTCGATTTTTTGCACATTTAACAGCGGAAAAACTGCGTCGACGTAAACCGAGCATGGGAAATCTCAGTTCGCAACGATTTATGCGTTTCGGCGTATTTATGCGCTCGGACACGCATCCAAATAACGCTATATGTATGTATATACCCGGTGTCGCGCAATTTGAGGAACAGGATAATTCATGTTACGCGCCGCACGGTCGTGGAATACGAGATGACATATTCGGCCGCAAAGCAGCACGTATGCGCATCCCACGCTCCTCTCTCTTTCTTCCGCGTTATATTTAATTGTGCGGCGGATTGCTCCGCCCACACAGATTTGCTTTGCTCTTCGCCACAGAGGAAGATAAGATAAACCGAATTACAAATCTGTAATTGAGAGTTTTTTTTTTATTAGTTTACGCGCAGTTATTATTCGCACCACGCACAAATCGCGTTGTCGCGATTGAGACAACCGGCCGATTGTTCTCTCTCTTTCGCGGCGATCACTTGTGAATTCTATTTCCCCAAAAATGCCCGAGAGATTTTCGTTTAACACGGTCATTATGAAAAAAACAGGAAAACGGCTTTCTAGCATGGGGAAAGCACACATGGTATTTATTTAATTTCACAATTTCAGCGCTGCGATTTCATATTTGCTTTCCACTGTAACTTTTCTCTCCCGCGAAAGATTTGATTATTTATTCCTGTCCTGTTTGCTACTTTCCATTTGGTTGAATCATCAACCGCGAGATGCTTTATTCTCGAAGATGCGTTCGCATCTGGCTGGCCTCGGGTCGGCTTTCAATTTCCCCTTCGGTATTTAACGGTGAAAGGGGAAATTCGTCAGGTACACCCGCGCGATTGTTAGGCTGCGAGTAGCGAAACACCCACGCGAATTCCTAGATCCACGAGCGCGCCGTCTGCGGCAGCTTTTCTTGTTCTCTCTCTCTATCTCTCTCTCTTTCTCTCTTTCTCTCTTAGCGCATCTTATTTCTTTGTTCATTGTAAAAATTGCTTACATTGTAAAATTGCTTACATGCTTTTCTCATAGAGAAAAAAAATGTAAAATCATGTTACTGTGGCGCACAAAGCAACGATTTGAATTCCTGACTGACTCGACAGTTGGAAACTCATCGAGTCCGAGGATCGAAAAATCTGACGCGATATTGGACACTTCCTCTGACCTTAACCTTAAACCATTTACGTCCCAATTGTGACGAACTCGTCGCGGAGGAATAAGAGCGGCGCGACAAAGGAAGCGTCGACGATGCTTGGAGCACAAAGAACGTCCTTTTCACGAGGAAGCGACGCTGCCCGACCGACCGGCCGCATTAGAATATATATACGAGGTGTAAAAAAAAAAAAAAAAAAAAAGCGAGCACGAAAGTCGCGGGCGTGGGAAAGCCGGCCCTCGAGCGAGCCACCAATTAACACCAATTAGCGCTCATCTGCTCTAGGTACTGCCAGGCGAGCGGAGCTCGCTGACTTTACGTTTAGCGCGAGACGTCTGACTCGCTCATGGATTGGCCACAACATGCTCTTTGTACTGAAACCACTACATCATCGAGCGTATATTGCTTCAGACAAGAGAAACGTATTGAAACATATCTGGATCGTAATGATTTTCTTTTCCGAACGATATTTAACGATGTGTCATGTAAATTTTCTCCGATGAACAAAACCCGACTCGAAAATCGATCGATTTATGCAACAAATTTCGCTATTGCCGGAAGAAATTGACTCGCAATAAGACTCGCGAGTTGGCAGTTGAGTCACGAGCGCACGGTTAAGCCGAGAATACACGATGCCAAAAGCGGAAAAGGCATCAGTCGGCAAGAAGTAACTCACATGTCAATTCGACACTCGCACAAGAAGCGGAAATCTTTCGCCAAGGAAAACAGATTAGTTTGTCAGCACAAATCTGTGTGTTATCTTCGTGTTTAATTAAAGATGCGATCTTTTTCGTCTCAATTGTTCATCTTCGCTGAGAAGTATTCTTTGAATTAAGCATGTCGACTTTCTCTTATCTTCATAAGACATACATTCGTTTCTTCAATATAAATTTCAATGTGTATATAATAAATAATATAAAATGATATATAAAAAAAAAATAAAAGAGAAGATGTTTGGGCAGATGTGAGCTAAAACAATAAGATATTCGTGTTTTCTTTATTGAATAAAAACAATGACAAAAATATATAAAAATACATAAAATTACAAAATAAATATTTGCGCGTATCTTTAATATATGTAAAAAAAAATAACTTTTTTTGTGTACGCGCAATTTTATGTTTTAAAATTTCGCGAGACACATGTTAAGGTTTTCGATTTCTGTGCGCAATATTATCTCTCCGCGAATACCGAAGCCGAGTTTCTCTCGCGCAGTCTCCGCGCTCATTGTCTAATTCCGAGGATCGTCAAGTTCATTATACACACCGACACACAGACGCGCGCGTTCGCGAGCGCGTGAGACGCCGATGTGCGAGCTCGTCTTTTTTTTTTTTCGCCGAGACCGGTTCCATCAGGAACACTTCCAGCTTTCTACCATTGCATCGAGTCGGCTCGACTCCCGTGTAACCCCATCGGGGTGCCAGCGCGCGGCCGTACTTACACGAAAGGAGCCACGACAGCCGCGTCTTCCGCGCGCGGCAAGCACGATTCGAATTTATTTATTGCATTAGCCGGCCGTCACTCACTCACGGTCCTTGATTGGTGGTACCAATCGGGTTCCCCTTTTCGAGCGACGCAACACGATGGCGAAGAGATAAACCGACTGTGTAAAGAACGAAAAACCGTCGTGTTGACACCTCCGCGTAATTAAAGACGTTCCGCGTTTTATCACGTGTAACGAACGTATCGATAATCATTACAACTTGTAGACACTGGCTGTGTATAATATCCGAGCTTTATGAACGCGCAAAGACAACGCGTGTTTTTGTATTTCAAATTCGTTCAAGCAACGAATGCCTCTGTCTAATCTCCGCGTCATTTAATTCCGTTTATATTCCGGAAGTTGTTTCTTACCGCATAGTTCTGCACGACAACGTGCGCTTTCGTGTTAATTCACGGTTACGTAAGACAAAGTCCTGAAATTGGTAACCCTATACACTATCATCGCGTATAATTTGAACCGCCCCGAAAGGTCACAGCAGGCGCTGTATAAATTTGCAAAAGCACCAGGCCTTCGAAGGTTCCGCTTGTTAGAATCATACCCGGCGAGGAATTATTCAAGCTGGCCAAGGGTTAATTGCTGCCTTCATCAAACCACCTCCCTTCCTCTTTCAAACGAGCCCTTGTCGCCCGTGACATCACCGTTCTGCATTTAATCCGACTTTGTTGCGTCACGACACCGTTGGCTTGCGCGTAGCAGCGATAGACCTGTGCGGATCGTCTCGATCGCAAACCACGTCTGGTTCATTCAAATATCGGTTTTATTAATTAAAACGCAACTGTTTATTTTTTGCGATTTGTTTTTTTTTTTTTTTGCAAAGGTACTAACAAGTGATTTTCGACGTGTGGGTCGAAAATTTGATTTTAAACTCATAAACTGTGTTTAGCAAATTTATGAAACATTTGTTTTATATTCTGTTGCAGAGGCAATTCACGTTGATTCTGCAAGCAAGGGACGAGGCGAGCGCCGGTGTGATCGAGGAGGCGAGTTTCAGCGGCATCGTCCTGCCAGAACCCACGTGGCACACTCTCAATCATCAAGGAAGAAACGCGCATCTGGCGTATCGGATGCGAGTACAGTGCGCCGAGCATTACTACAATGCGACCTGTACGAAATTCTGCCGACCTAGAAACGACATTTTCGGCCACTACACCTGCGACGAGAACGGGGACAAAGTGTGCATAAAGGGATGGAAAGGCGTCGACTGCGAGAGACGTGAGCACGCTAAAAAATTCTTATGATACAACGATCGCGATTATGTATTCAATTCTTATCGCGGCCATACATCGCTGTGCTAAAGCACACATTTTTACGCTTAAAAATAAATTTTAGAAATTTTCTGAACGCCGTCAACCGTTACATTATTTTTTTTTTTATTATTTCTGACAAACGGTAATTACGTTTTTTTAAGCACAGAAATGCATTTCATGAAAAGATAAGCAAAAAATGCTCTTAACATATTTCAGTATTAGCAGCTTTACGGTGCTCAGATGTGCATCGACTTTAGAATGAATTATTGCTGATTAATCCTACGTTACCGCACGCATAACCGCGCGTATTACCGTACGCATTATTAATTATACCGGGCATAATACCGGTGTAACGTGTACGTAAAGACCGTCCGCGTAATTTCTGACGACCCTTTGAATATTTTCTTGAAAAACGACCTACGAACAAAATGTTTTCCTCGCATATAAAAAAGTTTTGTTTGTTGTATTTCAATTTTATTTATTTATTTTTTCTATCTATATACGTATAATAAAGCGGCAAGTCTTAATTGCACGATGAACATTATTACGCGTTAGCTTCAGTGTTTTTTGTTTTTTTAACATAAATATCAGAAGCTTAGCGACGAACCGTGTTTTTTCTCCCCCCGTTCTTATCGTCTCGTTATGCACATCGAGAAGTCTCTTCGATGATGTCAATAGCGGAACGGCGCAGGTCGATTTTTTGCTGTCTCTGTGCCGCCGGAGGGGAATAATTAATCGTTTATTCGAGCGTGAAATCTCGCGACAGGGCCTACCGCATACGCCGCCGTCGTCTGTGATGTCGCTTAACTCGATTTCTCACGGCCCTAACGAAGCTTGCAATTCGATTACTGGCCATTAATAATTTCTCCTCGCTGCAAGAACTCGATAATATCCGAAGGGCAAAAAGTTCGGTCTTAATTAAAAGAGATCCATAAATGACAAAGTCCGTGAACGCACACACATAACGCGTTTTATTATCTTTGTTTTAAAGCGCAGTTATAACAGACGGTGCAAAAAAACAAAAAAACAAAAAAAAAGAAAAGAAAAAGATCGCGACGAAAGGACAGCGAAACAGAAGGACGAATCAATCTGTTCTCTTCTGCGATTTCTATCTTCGCGTTTCGAATCTTCGTCGCGCACGTTGCGGGAATCGTTTCGTCCAACGATTCAGACGCGCGGGAAACTCGCGGGTCCAAAGGGTCTCGTGTGGAAGAAGACGATCCCACATGCGGATCGCAAAACACGCGAATTGTCTCGGGAGCGTGCCTGAATGGGCGGATATGTTAGACGCATGATCGTACGATCTCTACAAAGGTAGCGACACATCACGCCAGGTCCGTCGCACAATGCTGCGCCGACTAATATAAGCAGCTCTTTCTTCGCTGCTTAATCGTTACTTCCGCCTCGCCGTGACCGCTGCTTGGTTACTGTCATCCCTTCCCATTACCACGGGCCACAACGCATGTAAGGTCGATCTCAAACGGACCGACGACGCGAGAAGGCCACACGTTTCATTCGACGACGTTCGGCCGTGTCCCGCGCCCGTTAGACAAACGCGCGCGTAGTACAGCGCCTCTGCGCTCTCTTGCGACTTTCGAATCGGAGTTCAGTTATTTCGAGAAACACAGTTTAAACGAGGGATATCGTTTTGCGAGAGTATCCTGCTTATTGCGTTCCGTTATTTGCGAGTATTGAATTTGTGAAAAAAAAGTCAGAAAGCAAATTCCGAGAACTTTTCGATCTCTCGCGCTGCGTTTAAATATAGTAATAAGAATAATAATAATAATAATTTGCGCTTGCTCCTCAGTCGCTTCTCGCAAGTGAGTTTCTGCACGCACTCACATGATATTATACAAAAGGAATTTTAATAACGACGTACGATTACTCTCTTCGATATGACGCTCCGCCTGTTTTCCTTGACACTGTAAACTTTACGCGATTGTGCCATTTGATAAGCAAAGCGCGACCGCGTGATTTTCTCGAATTGATAATCCGCTTTTCCAGACACAAGCAACGTGGCTAATTACGTCGCGACGTAATCTCATTTCCACTTCGGTGAGTTATTGCGATATTATATCGGCTAGATTGAATCTTCCCGGCACGGGAAAGAGCGAAAAATTTTCTCGTTTAATGATGCAGGAAGATCCGAGTTATCGTTTTGAGCGTGTTCTACTTAGACGGATGAGAAAAACGCGCAAAACCCCAATTAGAGACTATCGGCAGAGATCGCGTGCTCGTGCAAGGCGATGAGTTGCGGAGAAGAGAGAGAGAGAGAAAGAGAGAGAGAGAGAGAGAGAGAGAGAGAGAGAGAGAGAAAACTGGCTGTGGCATTTTTGTCGCGATGTGAAAGGTCAATAGGAGAATTTCACTCGTGCATCCTCTTCACACGATGCGCCAACCTGGTCGCACGAGAGGTAAAATCTCTGCGGGCTAAGTGCATACGTGGTGCTCCTTTAACATCTGGCAGCCGCGAAAGGATCTTGGAAGTTCAACGAACGCTCACTCTAAAAATTTATAAACCTTTTCTAACTCTCTTTTTCTCACAAAACTATTATATCTCAGTTCTGGTTTCTCTTAGAAAAAAAAAAAACAAAAAAGCCAAAAAGAAACCAAAAAATCAAACAAATTTTGCTAAGGAGGTAAAAACTATAAATTTCAAAACTTTTACGAGATTATTTTCTTAGACGATTTTTACAATCGCTGTCTGTGAAAGATGTTAAATCGTGTTTAGCAACATGTTAAATCTAAATTAATTTTAACCTCGCTCGAAGACTCTTCTGCATGAAATTAATAACGTGCCTCGTCGAAAGATGAGTTTTCATTTAACGCGCAATAAAAATATAATTACCATCTAACAGAGAGACAGACTCTCTTGGGTCGGGATTTAACGCACGGATTACCGACAGACAAATCAGAATTTTTCTCGCGACGTACGCAACGACGTGATCGCGGGACGTAAATTTTCCGGGGTAAAATACTTCCGCGTGAGTCTCACACGCACAACCAACGCGGCAATCCTGTCATAATCGCACGCACAAGACTCCGCGAAGGAGTCGCGCAAAAAATCGCAAACCACCGGGATTCTCTCTTCTCGCGCAACTGTTTCGCGCAAGAAGACCGCGCGAAAAAAGTTGACGACGATGCCTATCGCAGGAAGAAAATTGCGCAAAGTTAATTTACCTACTGTCGGCGTATTAATCAAGCTCCGGCTCCTCCTCCTCCTCCTCTCCTCTCTCTCTCTCTCTCTCTCTCTCTCTCTTCTCATGTAGGCATGTGAGAGTACGATTGCTCGAGCTTGAGAGGCGGGGATTTATAAGTTTCTAAACTCGGCGGGAAAATCCGCGGAAATTGTAAAACTGTATATAGCAACGCGAAGAAACGCGATTTCGATTGGATGACTCGATCCTACACGACGGAGGACAACGATATACATATCTCCGCGCGTATATGCAAAACGCAAGCCAGGCTGTGTCGCGTCGTCATTTAGGGGACCCCGAAGTATCGCGGCGACTGTCGCGTATAAATATCCGTAAATGTCCGTTGTTTGCGCAAAAGAAAGAGAGAGAGAGAGAGAGGACGAGAGAGCGGAGGCTATTAATCATTAGGGATGCCGCGGGCGGTATTATATGTTAACGCACATATATATAAGCGCGGTGCACGCATACGGTCCGTATACACGCGCGAACACGCGATAATCGCGAATATATACGGTAACGTATGAAAGAGGTGGTCGGTATACACACAAGGGCCAAACCGAAACCCGAAGAGAAGATATACGTGCAGAGAGATACGCGCGCGCACACCAGCGCGGCATGAGTTTTCGTTTCACAGTCGGAGGGATAATCCTTCTCTCTGTCACTTCTCATCTGTCTTTCTGTCCCACCGGCTAATTGAGTTGCCCGGTCCCGATGAGATCCCCCCGTCACGTTCATCCCTCCCGTGTCGTTTCCCCCCTTTTTTTTTTTTTTTGTTTTTTTATTTTTTTCATCTCAGCAAATAGGAAGAGAAAGCGAGTCGTCATCATTGTCGTCGTCGTCGTCGTCGCGCTCGTAGTTTCCGAGAATACGGTATTCTCGGCCGCACGCGGAGAAATTAGATTTCGTCATCTGACCACCTGTATGTATGTACGTTGTATACCTGTTGCTCCAGCTGCGCTTCTACGTCTCGAGACATTCGTTGTGCTATCCTACAATCTTCGTTGTAAGCCAAAGAAAGGATATCACGCGTGCTTTTCTTCCGCGTTCGTCGTACGTATACACGCCCGTTTCGTTCATTACAGCTCCGCTAATTACGTTCGCTCGACTCAATGACTATTACGTGTCGTGTGCCGCGCACGGAAGACGAATAACAGACGCTTAATCCGTCCACGTCATCATTCAGAATGTGTTCCGAGAGACGTCTCTCCGCGCGAGCAAGAGGATTCTTTTTCAGTCGCTTTCTCGCGATGTATGGCTCGAGCGATGAGTAAAACTTGCGAAAACACCATTCAGTCGGACGTCGAATCTTTATTTACAAAAAGCGATATGCCGATCTTCGTGATTCACAGTTAGCAAATATCGGTATATCTGACCAAATTTGTACACCGGTGATGAATTAAAATGACAAGTTCTCGAAAATTATTTTATTTTTGTAGCCGTCTGCAAGGAGGGCTGTCACCCCGTGCACGGTCATTGCAACGTCAGCGGGGAATGCACGTGTCGGCACGGTTGGCGCGGCGACTTGTGCGACCAGTGCATGCCTTATCCCGGCTGCAAGCACGGCTACTGCAACGGCTCGAGCTGGCAGTGCATCTGCGACACGAATTGGGGTGGCATCCTGTGCGACCAGGACCTCAATTACTGCGGCACCCACGAGCCCTGCCAGAACGGCGGCACTTGCGAGAACACCGCGCCCGATCAGTATCAGTGCACGTGTCCGGACGGTTTTTCCGGGCCTACCTGCGAGAAGGTCGACAATCCGTGCGCGTCCAATCCATGTCTGAACGGCGCGACCTGTCGCCAACTCGGTGAAAACGCGATCTGCGAGTGCGCGCCGGGTTTCGCGGGACCGTTGTGCGCCACCGACATCGACGAGTGCGCGTCGCAACCGTGCCAGAACGGAGGCACCTGCGTGGACGGCAAGAACGGCTTCGTGTGCAACTGCCCGACCGCTTGGCAGGGCGTGCTCTGCCAGTTCGACGTGGACGAGTGCGCGCTCAAGGAGTCGCCCTGCAAGAATTTCATCACCTGCACCAACTTGGCCGGCGACTACAGGTGGGATTGTCAAATTTAATTTTTTTCAAACTACTTAAACGGAAAATATATATATATATAAAATCCCGACCTTGTTAAAATGTAAAATTCATATTTTTAAGCAAGAATTATTGTCCGAACAAAATTTGGAAAATTGTACGTTTGTTACAAACGATAGAGAGACAGGCATGTGCGATATGTGTACGCACAAAGATAATTATTCAATAAAACGTTCGATAATCACAGAATAGAAGATATATCAGTGAGTTACATTGCTATTATCCTCTCGTGTTTACCTGATAATTCGCGATCGCGTACATAATTATCAGGACGGACGGTAAAATATCATGTTAACAGCGTCCCTCGAGAACGAGTTCGCGTCATCGTAGACCGAAGTTCCCGCGTTCAGTCTTTCTATTTTTTTTTCTCCTCTCGAATCACAGTGCGTTACATATAAATAACAGGTTTCCCACGGACGATGCGGTTATCGGAAATTAAGTCGTTATAGACCATTTTCTTTCGCGTATTTCGTAGTATTGCATTAAACAACAATAATAATAATATATCTTTAGTGTTCGACTTCTTTTTATGACAGCGCCGCAATTTGCTCAGTTTACTACTCCCGCTCGTAAAGTAATACCGACGAAGGGGAAAAAAAAAACCATTGCGTCGCAGTTGACTGAGAGCGACTGCGTTAAACGTGATTTAAGAATCCATTAGACTCGTCGTTGAACGAGCGAGCGGTAATTAATGAAACGACGTGGCAAAATCATCGTTCGAATTCAACTGATGCTTCTCGAAAGCATGCAAACGACTTTTCACCGAGTTTGTCAGGTCTAACGCCGCGAGATTTTGCAATTTCATCTCGCTGTTGTTGCAGATGCCGATGTCTGAGTGGCTTCACCGGCAAGAACTGCACGAAGAATATCGACGATTGCATCGGCCAGTGTCAGCACGGCGCGCTCTGCATCGACCTGGTGGACGATTACCACTGTAGCTGCACTCCCGGTTACTCCGGGAAGAATTGCGAGAACGACATCGACGAGTGCGCGTCCAAGCCGTGCCAGAACGGCGGCGAGTGTCGCGACCTGGTGAACGCGTACGAGTGCGTGTGTCAGGTCGGTTTTACCGGTTATCAGTGCGAGATCGATCAGAGCGATCTCTGCAGTCCGAATCCTTGTCGCAACTCGGCACCGTGCTTCAACACGCAAACCGATTACTACTGTCACTGTCCGGAGCAGTGGCAAGGCAAGAACTGCACGGAACCGACGCCGCACAATCCGCAGTACGATTTGACGAACAACGATGAGATCAGCTGCGGCAACCAAGGTACACCGTGCAGCGGAAGAGGTATCTGCACCAGCGGCAAGTGTACGTGCAATCCGGGTTACAACGGCACGCACTGCCACGAGAACATCAACGACTGTCGCGGCAATCCTTGCCTGAACGGCGGCACTTGTGTCGATCTAGTTAACTCCTTCCAGTGTATCTGCAGGGAAGGCTGGAGTGGAAATCTTTGCGATCAAGGTGAGTTAGAAGATACGAGACGAAAAATAGACGGAGTAAAACTTAGCAAAGTGAATGAACATAATCATCTTTCTTCAGATGTGGATGAGTGTCTGGCGCAACCTTGCCGCAACAACGGCACCTGCGTGGACGGCGTGGCGGACTTCACGTGCATCTGTCGCGGCGGTTGGAAGGGAAAAACATGCACGCTACGTGCCGGTCACTGCGAACCGGGCACTTGTCGGAACGGCGGAACCTGTAAGGATCACGGCGACGGTTTTACGTGTAACTGCCCGCCGGGTTGGGAAGGCGCGGCTTGCCACATCGCGTCGCCGTCGGCGTGCGTGAGCAACCCCTGCGAAAACAGCGCGACCTGCGTGAACAAGGCCGACGGCAGTTACCGATGCGTATGTCGCGAGGGCTTCGAGGGACCGAACTGCGGAAGCAACATCGACGATTGCAAGATGCTGCCGTGTTTGAACGGCGGCAAGTGCGTAGACGGCATCAACTGGTTCAGATGTGAGTGCGCACCTGGATTTACCGGCCCGGACTGTCGCATCAACGTGAACGAGTGCGCGAGCAATCCGTGCACCGCTGGAGCTACTTGCGTGGACGGCATCGCGAGCTATTCGTGCATTTGTCCGCCCGGTAGAATCGGTTCGCGCTGCGAGATTCGAACGGCCGGCGGGCCCGGCTGCATCGCCGCCACGTGGGACGACGATTGCAACGTATGCGAGTGTCGGAACAGCAAGAATCGATGCAGCAACGTCTGGTGCGGTCCGGTCAATTGTCTAAACGTCACGTCGACTTGTCTGACTCACGAGGTCTGTGTTCCTAGTCCGGCCGAGAGCTGCCTGGCGCCGCCGTGTTCACCATGGGGTGAATGTCGTCCAGTGGAAACTGGAAGACGCGTTGGTCCGCCGGCATTGCCAGCTCCACCGTCTTGTTGGCCCGGACAGTCTATTCCTGGACCAACGTGTTCGAGACTCAATATCTTATTGCGAAGAGACACCTTAACACCAGGCACATCGGTGGAATTATTGTGTCGTCGTTTGAGAAAGCTTCTGGCCGATCCACGAAGACCACAGAGAGTGGTGTTGCTGTGCGATTTGAAACCTGGAGACAACGATACCGTGGAGGTGACCATCTTTTCCGAGGCAGCGGCCGATGCGGCTCGGGACCTCGGCGAGATGCTGAGTCGTCCGCAGTCAAGACCTCTCGCTTTCGCCTCCGTGCTAGAGGTGAAAGTGGAGACGGCGCTGTTGAGCGAGCTCAGCTCGACGAACGCGAGTAACGTCGGTAGTTACGTGGCTGTGTTAGGCAGCGCTTTGGCTATTGTGCTGCTATTGGCTCTTTTTGGCGGTCTGTGGTATCTCAGAACATTGAGACACAGATCGAGTCTAACTGCGACCACCAGTAGCGAAACCTCGCTGCACCGTCATCGCAGCGATCTGGATGAGAAGTCGAACAATCTTCAGAACGAGGAGAATCTCAGAAGATACGCCAATCCGTTCAAGGATCAGGATTCCGAGCCCAGAGTGTCCGTCGTGAGGCCTTTGTCGGGCACCTCACTTGGCACGTTGGCCAGTACCGAAGAAAGCCTCGAGATGGTATCCGACGACAGCAAGCATCGCTTGCCACCGCTCTACAAACCGCCCAGCGCGGAAGCCAGGAACAACACTGCCAGTTTCACGTACGAGGAAGGATCGCACAAACCGTACATCAAGTCCAGATTGCAGGAGCCGCCGTATCCTCATCAGCAACCGAGCACCAGCCAAACGTCGACGCCGCATCAAGTGCTAACGGTACACGTGTGATTAAGTATCGTTATAAATAAACAGTTTTTGTCGGAGGAACAGTGTGTCGGCGATTCTTCTTGAGGACGCGTCAAGAGAGAAATATTAGAAGAAAAACTGTAGAAAAAAATAAAAAGATGTGTTATATAGAGACTGAGAATTTACTTGGACTATTCGGTTTCTTTGTGATAACTGGAAGTACGACTTCAGAACATATAGCTTTCTCTAAAGTTCTCCTTCGTAAAAAAAAATTTTAGAACGTATTAGGGACAAATGCAGAGAAAAAAGAGAAAGAGAACGCGCGACTCTTATCGGGCTTAGCAACTTAGTTTTAAATATTGTGTATCGTTACGAGACAAAAATGTCAAACGCGTGTCTCCTTGTTCGATCAGTTTGTTCGTAGCGCCAATAGCGTGTTAATGATCGCTCACACACATTCTCAAATTTCTGTACAGAATATATTGATGACTCATCTCACTCTTGTAAATGATCTTAAAAAAAAATGATCCTTGGAAAGTAACTGAAAAATTTTTTTCCTCTCTTTTTCTCCTCATTCGCCCCTCTCGCGCTACGATAAGAAGCGATCAACAATTATAAATACTTTTTATGACAATAATAAATTGTTATCGTTGTGTACATATGTATATAGCTCGTACTTATTAATTTCGATAAGCCTATATACTTCATTTCCATTCCTTTCGACGTTGCCATCTCCGTGTGTCTTGTGCGCGAACCTGCATTCTTGTATTTCATCTCTTTTGATATTGATTGCGTCTACCGTCACGTCACATTAGCACTTTGTTTTTTTGACATATGATTTGAAAAACACATACACAACTTATAGATGGCACCGTCGCATTTTCGAGACAATTGTACCGTTTTTGTGTAATCATCGATGTGAAGCTGCGTTCTGCTCGAAAGGCGAAAAAAAAATGGATATAAAAACAAATACGTAATTTGTAAATAAGTTTGGCGAAAAAAAAATTGTGCACTTTGAAATCTCATTCGGAACCATCGTGATTAAAACGTGCCCAGACATTGTTGTACGTGAAAGTGTGTGGTTTGTCTTTGTATGATACATAACGTGGTCTTCTCAAACGTTCCTTCAGACGATATTATTGTGATACTCATAGAAGAAACAACGTCGTTGTGTAAAAAAAAAAATCGCTTTGTGGTACTCTGCGTGTTCGTCTTCAGCTCGAGTTTTATCTTTGCGAGAACACGGCGCGTGATCTGTACGCGATACCGCCTTGTTGTACTGCAAAATTTAGACAATGTATAGAAGCGCGACGAAGACAAATGTGTACATAGTACGCGCATAATATTGCATCGTTAAACGATGTAAATAAATTCAAATACACACGTCCAATACATCGTTTTCGTCCTCCAGTCATCATCGACTCCACGTTTGAATGTGCAATTTTTATACATATATATATATATATATATATATATATTAGCGTTTTCGCGCCTATCCCTCCCCTCGTCTCTCCGCAGTAAACTAGTTTAAAAACGAAGAAGCGTAGTTTGTTCTAAGCGTACATAGAATTTACAGCAAGAAGGAACACAAAGTTTTATATAATAGATACTTTATTTTATATGTATATATATATATATATACATATACATATATATATATATATATATATATGAAAAAAACTATATTATTGTGCGAATACATAGCAGCGAGACGATGAAAATATATATAAATATATAAATATTATATTATATTATATTTTATATTATATTATATATATATATATTATATTTTATTTTTATTTTATTTTTTTTCTCGTCGTATATTTTAAAATTATATCTAGGTCACCAAGCAATGGTCGGTCATTTTTTTCGTCGTACGATTTTCCGGCTCACTTTTGTTCACTTCAGTTCTCTTTTGTTCACGCAAAGCCGACGAAGCACCTATTGAACTGATTTCTCGTGATCTACAAAAAAATCGACAATAGACATGGTGAAGCGAATTTCCACGCGTTTTTGTGATCGTTCGTATCCGATACTGAGAAATGTGCAAACATTTATGTGTGTGTGTACATAAGCTCCTTCTTTATCTGCCCTATCTATCCTCCATTTCTTTCCCTTTCCCTTACATAGAGTTACAACGATGTGAAAGATTTCAATAAAAAGTACAACACTTCGACATGATTCGCAATTCATTAATTGTATTACACCTTTCGATTTTTTTGTGTTTTTACCTGCAAATAAATTTTTTTAAATAACAAATATCAGCATTTTTTTTACGAGAAGTAGAGAACTCGATGCGCGATGAGTTTCATCAGCTGATTTCAATGCCCCGTCGCGATTGTTTCATTGAGAATAATACCGACGTCATTATCGTCGAAGACGTCTGAGATTAACAAAGCACTCGGAGTCTATCTCTCGTTGCCGCGGCGAGATACGACAACAAGAAGAATCCGTCTCGTGTATGTTCAAGCGCGTGTAACGCACTGAATGAACGATCTACCAAAATGACAATACAATGGTTTGGAAGAGCCACTTGACAAATAGCCGGTAGATGAATCACGCATCTCGCGATAAACCATTACGACCCGTGTGAAACGACGCGATAGTCGTCGATTGACTATTTTCGCCACAAGGATCAAAGAGATGCGATAAATACGAAGAAAATGATTGTTTCCATTTCTAGAAAATCAGACACAATAGAAATAATATAAAATTCTATTGCATGAACAATTAAATTTACATACAAGCTATTTTGACACCGATCCCAACGTGCGTCGGATTTATTGTTGCCGCGTTTCAAAACAAGTCGCCGAAGAAAACACATCTCACATATCTAGTAAATAATAATCTATCTATCTCTTAATTTCTATTGGCGATTTCCGAATCGGAGATGAAGCATCTAGTAGAGGCTTTTCTGTCAGAGAAATCATTTTCCGTCGCTTCGGCGCATTCACTCGTCGGCTTTTACAAAGCAAAGTTGATATCTTTTTCTCCTTCGAAGATGTACGAATGTGACTTCTGCGAACGGACGTTCATAAAATATAGTATATACTACCTTCATAGTTTGACATGTTCTTCCAGATGTTATAAAACATATCTGTGTTCGGTAAGTGTTTTTGAAAATAATTATAAAATGTGTGTAATGCGCGTGAATATACGACTTATAATTAACATATATTGTTTTTCTTGATTCTGAAATGGACACGTGATGGGGTCACATTGAGCTCAGATACAACTCCGCATTATTAACTTGAAACCCTTCATCAATTTTACGTATTATGTAAAAATGATTTTAAGTATAAACTTTTTTATTTTGCCATGTTTTAAAATCATTACTTTAGAACATTGAAAGATTATATTCTCAAATCAAATATATAAGTAAATCGGTTAAAAATACGTCAAGAACAGTCACGTGCTCGGTGAAGGATTAAAGTGTGTGTTTAAAAGTTTCGTCAGTTTATTTAAAAACAGCACAAAATATTTATTCATCTTTGAATTGAATGTAAGGTATGTGGGAAGCAATTTGTTGAGACGGACTTTTTATTACACAAGAGTTATTGCAAAAAAGAGATCCAAAATAAACCAAGGTCTAAAAAATGAGTGCAAACAATATAGTTCATTCTACTGTAATAAAAAAACAGGTATTAGTTTTACATGATATCCCGTCTTATATTTGGTATAGAAAAAGTTAAAGAAATAAATTGTTTGATTAAAATGACACAGGAATAATTACGCGTACTCGATCTCGGAACATAAATGCAAGAAAACAAAAATCAAATTAAACAGGAACAAACCGTAAAAGCAACTGTAACCTGTAACGTAAAACGAAACGATACGGACAGCCGATGACGAAATGATTTAGCGCATTCGATTATCAACATGACGACTAAAATAACAGCTGCAAAACAATTAACAGTTTTTTATAAATAATTTGTAAACAGACTTTATTCTGAAGGCATTAGATTCATGTCTGCTGCCTTCTACTTTCTTATTTTTTTATTATTAGAATGTACACATAGATACCGCGTCAAACTCAGAATGGTATTAACTTGAAGGTCACATATGTCTAAATACAAGTATAAACATTTAAAAACGTTTACTTTTAATGTTTTTAAACGTTTAATTGCTAACAATTACAAATTCTGTATAACTCTAATAGTAATACAGTTTATTCAATGAGACACACTTCAAATGTTCAAATCTAAAGCTAATATCATTATACTGACCTAAAATGTTGTAATATATTTATTTATTCAATATATTTATTTTATATACGACAAAAGTAATTAAATAAGAAATAAAAAATGGTGTGAAATATAATACTCTAATCTGTTGTAAAATTTATTCCGATTTTGTTTTAATCCAGTCTTCCCTTCGGTTTAAAATAAGGTAATAATGAAAACTTTATTATTACTTTTAACCACAAGTAGTTTTGATTAACTAGCACAACACAAGCGCGCGCTACGCGCACGCTATTGTTATTTTTATTTAACGTGTTGTCAGTGAACACAATCTGTCACCGCGATGACAGATAGTATATACATCTTATAAACCACATAATACACATATGAGAAATGTCAGAAATAACGCATGAAAATTAAACTTAAATAATAGTGAGAGAGAGAGAAGTGGAAAAACAACACGTGACAGGGAAAAAGGTAAAAAAGAGAATATTATATATATTATATGTAATATTCTATATCTATATATAATACACACACATACGCATATATATATATATATATATATATATAGTAATCACGTGACCGAAGTCAGTAACACCGCCGCGGTCGCGCGACCGAGGTCGGTGACTCTACCGCAGTCGCGCGACCGAGGTCAGTGACCCCCCCCACCAAGGCCGCGCGCCCGCGGTCAGTGACCTCCCCCCACCAAGGCCGCGCGGCCGAGGTCAGTGATCCCGCCAAGGCCGCGCGGCCGAGGTCAGTGACATTACTGTAGTATGTATATAATACATATAATACAATATAAAGTATAATATTATAAATATATAATAAATTATATGTATAATATGTATTTTATTTAATGTTATACATAATATAAATTACAGTCACGTCATTTTCACGTGTTGTTTTTCTACTCTTTTCTGTCACGTGACTTTAGTTACGTTTTTAATTTTCTCTACATATACGACGACCTGTCTCAAAATTGCTTTTCGTTATTTACTCTCTTACCGATTCGATTCGACTCGATCAACCAACCAACCAATCGGCAACGCGGAAAAGAGGCAACAATAGATGCGATACATTCGGCTCCAAAACGCGCACTTCTCGGTCCAAATGCCCTTTTTTATATTTAGGATGATTTTTATCTTCACTGTCGCGGTTTTCTTTCTCTCAGCAAAGATTCGAACCATTTCAACAAAAGATCGTATAATATTCGACTTTTATCTCACATTTGTAACTAATTTCGTGTAATTATTAGAAATTTTGAAGTTACGCGTATTTATATTTTTCTGCGATATTTATACACATAAAATTGAAAAAAATAGTTAACATGGACGTCACACGAGTATCTGAATAATAAATAATCTTATATATATCTCTTTCTTTTTTCTCTCTTCTCAATATGATATTTGCTATAATATTTTTGCCTCTTCAAAGCCAAAGAAATGAATGATAAAAATATGATTCATCAATTTACTATAATAACATTTTTACACTAGATAAAAAAAGATTACATCTTCAAAATGCTGTAGACTTTAGAAGACGTTGAAGACGATAACGAAACTTGGCAATATTCTCAAGTAGAACCATGGAGTGAATACGATGATGAAGATTATGCTGAACTTACAGAAACAGACATAAAATACGACGAAGATGGGGAAAAAGAAGAAGAAAAAGAAGAAGTTGCCGTAAAAGAAGTAATTGACGAGACTGACATAATGGAAGACTATGTGTCAAAATTCGAAGCAAAACGAGCGAGGGAATTGTGGGGTAAGATAAGAGAAAAGAAAGTAGAGATACTGCATTTGATTGAGGTAATTGTTTCTCCCTTCACTTTGTATACGTGTACGCTTACATATGATACAAACGATTTTTTTTATACATGTAACATATAAAGGAGGTCCGAATAAAAGAGAGAGATGATATATCTGAAGAAACGCCAATTACTCCGGAAGAAGAGGTTGCCGTGAGCGACCGAACGACCACTGAGAGCTCGATTCATTTATGTTTGCGCGAGATAGACATCAGCGAGTCCCAGTTAAAGATATCGGATCCGTATATGGTATATCCAATCCCGGATGATCCTGGATTACGACCGGCTTTCTGGCTGTTGCGCGAGAGCCCGCCTGTTTATGACATCGATGGCGTGCAGAAATTTTATGATACAGTAAAACGTCTTCGTTTGAGGTCAATTGCCTCGCTAAAGGACATGTTTCTAAGCGACCAGCTAAATCTGCGCTACTACGGGGTCCAGCCGTTGATTTTAAAAGTAATATGTGACGCTTTGGTCGACAACACTTTTGTGCAAAAAATAGACTTAAAGGTACAGAAAATAAAGTTTAAAAAAATATATTTTTTTGTTACAAAGAGCTTATTTTTTAAAGCAACATCTCAACTTGAATATTTAAAAACAACGATGACAATATCTGTTGCAAAGATCTTATGTAACAATTAATTATTAAAGCTTTTGAATCTAAACATTTATGATGAAAACGTCGTTAACTTACGTCGATTACGAGCTACATTTGTTGAAACAGATCTTTGATCAGAGAGTCAAAAGTGTTTTATTGCAGGACAATAAATTGTCCGCGGACGCGTGCGAATATCTGAACGATCTGCTGCTGAGGAACAACACGATAACCGACTTATCGCTGTCGGGTTGTCAAATCGGCGCGAACGGTGCGAAGAATTTGTGCGACGCATTAATGACGAACGCAATCGTGAAGACGCTCGATCTCAGTCGCTGCAACATCGAGAACAAAGGCTTCGAACACATTGCTTACGCGTTATCAAATAGCGACAGCTTGCAGAGCGTTAATTTGTCCGACAATCATCTGGACGAGTCTTGTTCGGGAAGTCTGCGGCATTTGCTATCGCGTTCCCAAACCTTGACGGATCTAGACTTGTCCTGGAACTCTCTGAACAGCGCCAAGACTATGAAGGCTTTGGTCGATGGAATCATCAAAAACGAAGTGTTGCGTTTGTTGAATCTGTCTTGGAACTCACTTGATTCGGAATGCGTGTTGCATCTAAATCAATTATTAGCACGTTCGCAGACACTCGAAACACTAAATTTGAGCTGTAAATATATGCATCACAGACACAAAATATATGTTGATATTGTAAAATATGTTAGACGATAAGAGGTTTTTTAAGCTAATATTCTTTGCTTGCATTTGATTCAGGGAACAGATTTAACGAAGAAAATGCCGCATCTATTGCAACAGCTCTATCGCAAAATAACAAGCTTCAGCAATTATACTTAGGAAACAATCCTTTAAAAGCAGAAGGCGCTTTGGCTTTGGTTCGTGCGATTTCTCACTTATCATCCGATGCTGCCTTACGTCTTCTAGACTTGGAGAACATCTGGACAAAAACGGATGTTCTTCCGGAATTAAAAACAATCGAGACATTCAAACCGTGGATCACAGTCAGGTTGGGTGGTATTTTGAGTAATTATTCGCTTGTTGGACCAAATGTCAAAAGGATAATTCTGGATAGAGCTAACTACGAAGCGATGAAACATAAAAAAAAGAGACTGCGACGTAACTTCGGACATTTCGTGATGTCGTTGGATGACGGATTAATTTCGCAAAGTATGTTCGAGAATCTATCGAGGTTTTTCTTCTTCATCACTTAGATTTCTTTATTAATTTATTAAAAAATTATAGAACAATTTTTGTATTTTAAAGAACTTTTTTCTTCTTCTTTGTAGAAAAGTTCGAAGAACTGATAAATAACTTTAAACTACGACTTCCGAAGTCGCTCATTGACGAGATCGTGAAAGAATTTACGAAGCCGACAACTAAAACTGTTGATTTACAATTGTTGAAGTCAACTTATTTGAAAGAATATCCCGAGACAGTGGCACTGCAGGAGAAAAGGAAACCCCTTAAAAAAACTAAAGTTGCTAAAAAAAAACCAAAGAAAATCTAGAAGAAAGTGTCAAACCTAAAAAGCGCAAATAATATGAAAATAAAATAGATTCAACAAAATAATTTATTATTAAATTATGGCGCAATATATTTTACAAGTGTTTTCGATATTGCTATATATAATAGCTATATTATACGATGCGCAAAATGCGTTATGTACAAAATATGTAATTATGCAAAACATATGCAGTAAAATACGCAAAATAAAAAATATTTTTATTTATCTTCTTTTATAAACAAATTTGCGCACACATATGCAGAATATAATCTAAAAATAAATAATTAGAAAATCTTGAGAATTATCTCGTAAATAAATTATGTGTATTCTTTTCATGTAAGATAATATAAAATACAATATTATTTGCACAAACTTATTAAACTTTATATATCTGCATTTATCATATAATAAGAGAAATTTAAGTTTTCTTTGTGCGTGTGTGAAAAATTTTATATTTAATCTACATAAAATATTCTTGCCGCAATATCATCAATAATCCAATTAATGCCATCCACTAGATTTTCACCCGTCACAGCAGAACATTTGTAAATTTGCCAATGATGAGTCTTTATATCAGGCAACTCCAAAATCTCTGCTATGTCTGACGCTGACAGTGCACCAGGCATATCCTGTTTGTTGGCAAACACCAAGAGACTAGCTCCTTCCAATCTCTCTTCTTGAAGAAGCTTGTACAGTTCTGTTTTACAGTCATCCAATCTCCTTCTGTCCGCACTATCTATTACCCAAACAAGTCCGTCTGTAGACTCAAAATAATTTCTCCAATACGAACGCAATGATTTCTGTCCACCAACGTCCCAAATATTTAATTTATAGCCACGATGTTCTAAGGTCTTGATATTAAAGCCCAATGTGGGCGATATAGTATCTATTGGTTCGCCATTGAGTCTCTTCAACACTGTTGTCTTTCCCGCATTATCCAAACCTCTGAAATGATAAACAATTTCATATTAAAATATAAATTACTACTGTTAACGCTTTAAAATAACAGTATTCATAAAATTGTTCAACCTGTAAAAACGTAAACTAACCACAAACTCAGTATATACAATAAGTACACAAATGTGTATACGTACAACATTAAAATTCGCATTTCTTTCTCTTTCTGCTTCAATTTTTTCAACACCGTTAATAGACCCATTGATCATTTATTATGCCTCTCACAACGTTCAGATTATTGATAGAAAAACATTCGGGAATAAAATTTCCTTGAAGATAAGCGTTGTCACTGGTTGTCAACAAACAAGGGAAGATACGAGTGCTGCCTCCTAACCAAGCAGGTTCAGAGAAAAGACCAAGAGCGGCCAGGTCCGTAAAAGAATATGTACTCGCTTTCCCGCCCTGTAAGCCAGCGCATTGTTCGTAAGTAGTACACATTGGCAACTACGTAGCCATGTCCACAAACGACTTGCCGGTACGCACGTTATGTTCAAACGTGGACATGGTTCTGTTCCAGGCTATGACTACAATACAGTCACGTGACTGACTTTTCGGCAAAGGTCACTGACCTTCTGACAAAAATCATTGGCGGGGCGGTATCCCCACTTTGACCGCTTTTCCTTCCCTATGCGCGAGTAGTGTCCTATTCTCTCATTGAACCAAGTATACGTCCATGAATTTCTCTATGTCGAATGGCGCTAGTGTAGTTACGTTGTGCGGCAGCCTTTACGTCTTTAGCCGGTGAATGTGAATTTCTTTAGGAAATCTATGTACACGAAAGAAGCATCTCGATCGTCACGAGAAGGATCTAATTTTGTGTGGCACGTGTGAAGAGACGATTTTCGAAAACTTTGACAAGAATGGCGATGCATATACCGAAACCGCCCGGCGTGGCGCAGATGCTTAAGGAAGGAGCTCGCGTGAGTGTTATTTTGTCATAATAAAAGTGCGCGCACAATGTGGTTATTCATGATGACACAATGCTTCCCTGCGGAAGGAGAATACGTAGAAGGGATATATTTGTTCCTTCTTACCTTTTAAGGCATTTTAGACAATTTGACATATTCAAGAACTTGAAGAACTGACAAAGTCACAAACTCACGCGTAAAAAGCGAAATAGGCCTGAATGTTGTATTCTCTTTTTGTCAGAAAAAATTTAATCAATAGATAATGTTTCCAAAACAAAATTTGTTATTTTGAAAATTGATAAATGTTTTGTCGTGAATTTGGGTTGACATTTTGATAAATGTGTTATTTTGTATTGTTTATAGTATTTTTCAGGCATCGAAGAAGCAATTTACAGGAACATATCGGCCTGCAAACAATTTTCGGACACTGTGAGAAGTGCTTACGGTCCTAATGGCATGAATAAGATGGTTATCAATCACATTGAAAAGTTGTTTGTAACTAATGACGCAGCCACAATTATCAACGAATTGGAGGTTGAACATCCAGCTGCAAAGTTATTGGTTTTAGCGTCAAAAATGCAAGAAGCTGAAGTTGGAGACGGAACCAATTTTGTCATTATCTTTGCCGGAGCATTGCTTAATGGAGCAGAAGAATTGCTTCGTATGGTACATTAATTTATATTCTTAAATTAAAATTTTTACAACAGAGTTCCATTGTTTATGTTCTTTCTATATAGAAGACCAGTTTGTGTAACAAGAAATTTTTCCTACTGTTCGATCACAGGGTATTCCTACTTCGGAAATTGTCGAAGGTTATGAGAATGCTTTGAATAAAGCCCTTGAAATTCTACCAACGCTAGTTGTTCAAGAGGTGAAAGACGTGCAGAACGAAGAGCAAGTAAAAAAGGGAATTAGAACTTCTGTTATGAGTAAACAATATGGAAATGAGGATCTTCTCGCTTCTCTCGTCACTCAAGCTTGCATGTCTATCTTACCTGAGAAAACGACATTTAACGTGGACAATGTTCGAGTTTGCAAGATACTCGGAGGTGGCTTGAACAATTCGCAAGTTGTGCAAGGTATGGTGTTCAAGCGTCAGGTGGAAGGAGAAGTCGGGAAGAAGACCAACGCGAAGATTGTCGTTTATACTTGTCCGGTGGACATATCTCAAACCGAGACCAAGGGCACCGTGCTGATCAAGACGGCCGACGAGCTGTTGAAGTTCTCGCGCGGTGAGGAATCTTTTTTGGAAACTCAGATCAAATCGATTGCCGATAGCGGCGCCGATGTAATAGTGTCAGGCGGAAAATTTGGAAATATGGCTCTGCATTACATGAACAAGTATAATCTCATGGCTGTACGTATTCCGAGCAAGTTCGATCTCAGACGACTGTGCAAGACCGTCGGCGCTACCGCACTCACAAAAGTGGTAATTAATGCTTTACAAATCTTGAAATGTATCTTTAAAATTTTATATTTGACTAAAAAATAACACTCATTCAATTGAAAATACAAAACATGCAATTACGGACCTTTTTTAAAGATACCACCGTCGAAGGAAGAGCTTGGATACGCTGACAAGGTGTACATAGACGAGTTGGGTGACACTATAGTGGTAGTGTTCAAATTGGAGGGAAAAGAAAGCCGTGTCAGTACTGTAGTCGTGCGCGGTTCCACCGATAACTACATGGACGATATCGAGCGCGCGATCGACGATGGTGTGAACACTTTTAAGGGTATCACGAGAGACGGTAGATTCGTACCGGGCGCGGGTGCCACGGAGATCGAGCTGGCCGCGCAGCTGACGTCGTACGCAGACACGTTACCTGGTTTAGGACAATACGCGGCACGTAAGTTTGCCACCTCGTTGGAAATATTTCCTAAAACTCTAGCTGAAAGCTCCGGCACTCACGCGCCAGAAGTTCTCTCGAAGTTGTATGCAGCGCATAAAGAAGGAAAGAAGAATCACGGTTTCGATATTGATGTATGTATCATTTTTTAGATTTTAGTATAATAGTAATTTATGTTAATTGTTGATGTTAGCACAAACTTTCTCTTATCTTAAAACAATATTATACTAACACACATACGTAATACAAATTTATACGAGTTACATTGCATAGGCCGAAGGCGCAGCTCTGATCGACACCGTCGAGGCGGGAATCGTGGATTTGTATTTGACCAAACAATGGGCGATGAAGTACGCGGTCAATGCGGCGTGTACGGTTCTTAAAGTAGATCAAATTATCATGGCGAAACGAGCAGGTGGCCCGAAGCCTCCAGCGGGAGGAGTTCATGATGAGGATGACTAATTAATAATATACGAGAAGATCGATGACTAATAAAATACGAAAAGATCGATTACATAATTTATCAATTTTTACTATGTGTCTTGAATTCTAACAAAAGTATTAAATAAATTTGTTAAATGCTATCTAATAATTACCTCAATATAATTTTAAAAATTCTTAGTATTGTACGATAAATTAAGTATTAGTTTCGGTTTTTTTGTAGTAGGAGAGACTTGGGCACGGTATAGAAATCTGTGGACTTGGGTTTGCATGATATGTGAGATTTCTCTGCTCTTTGGACGTAATCGCAAGGTCGTAAGCAAAGTGACCAATCGCTGGCCAGCATTCCAACTAATGTAAGATAATACTGGTCTGTAATTGGTTGAATTGCTTACGATCTTACGGTTACGGCTACAATTTTTTTACGTGCAAATGGCCCTTAAGTTTAAGTTAGGTTAGGTTTAGGTTAAGGTTAAGTTAGGTTCAGGTTAGTTTAGAGTTACAGCGAATTGGTAGCGTGTAACGTGTTTATTATTTTTGCTTAGTGTTTTTATGTATTTACCGCAAAAACAATTTTCTACCGTGAGATTGTCACAATGTTTCGTAAGGTAAATAATATTTCATAATAAGCGTAACACAAAATTATTTTAGTTTAAGGCTAAATAAATAAATTTCACTTATATGCGCACGTGATTTTTAGGTTATTTTAGAAGCGCGCAATCAAATCCCCCGGCTAAATACTGTACGACTCTTCTCGCAAGAAACGAATGAGGCTACAAGGATAGAGAAAAGTAAGACATGTTTCGAAAAATTATTATTTTGTTTAAATATAATATATTGCATGTAAAACACACACATGTGCACACAGTAGTATATATACATTCTGCAACTACATAACGATATTTATTAACAAATTATGCCAACTTTTGCACATAGAAATGTGTAAAATACAAAAATCATCAAAATTGTTTTCTCTCTTGATGGTGAAGAATGTTTTCTGTTTTATTTGCAGCTGTTAATAATGTTACTTTACTGGGAAGAGTTGGAGCAGATCCTCAAAAGCGTGGAAGCACTCAGCATCCAGTTGTAATATTTTCCCTAGCAACACACACGAATTATAAATACGAAACAGGTTAACATTTTTAGATCAACACGAGAAACTTGAAAAATAATCTTATGAGTAATCATCTGCGAAATATCTGTTTTAGGTGATTTCATGCAAAGGACAGACTGGCATAAGGTATGTGTGTTTAAGCCAAATTTAAGGGACGCTGTATATACGTATTTAAAGAAGGGTCAACGTGTATTAGTGAATGGCAGAATAAGTTACAGCGAATTCAAAGATGAAGAAGGGATCTCTCATCCTAGCACTGCTATTATAGCAGATGATGTAATATTTTTCCAGTAACAAATATACATACTCTTTATAAAGAATGTTTATTTTATATTAGTAATAAGTTTTTTCCTTCGTGATAATTTACAATAAAATTTCTACATATAATACTAAAAGAACATATATGTTTTCTTATATTATATGTTATTTCTTTTATATATATAAAATTCGTATCATGCAAATTGATGTACAAGGATGTTTTATATCTTCAACATTTTGTACAGAAAAAAAAGTTTGATTTCAAATTCTGAATTTGACTTTGTTGATGAAATATTCTTAGAACAAACAATCATTTACATTAGACGTATCATCCGGGACTATGACAACTTTATGTGATTGATGCAGAAGAAATTAAAAACAAAAAAAAAGCAATATTGGTGTTCAAAAAAATAATGCATTGCAAATCTGGTCGATGGTTTTTTGTTTGATAAAAATTTATTTTTAGCGGATTGTATATTGGACGAGTTGAGGGTAATAGTACACACGCGTGTTCTTAATAACTAAATAAGTCTATATTTACAACATTTATCATTTCATACTCTGCATAACAAGTTATATAATAAAACCGTCCTAGTTTCTAGAATTTTACATGGTTCACTTTTATACACACGCGAAACGATATATAAACTTTTTCTTCCCACCTTAGACAGACGCATTGCAACTTGGTTGTCCTCGTATATCCTGTTACATATATCGTATATATGTATAATTATATATATATATATATAAACTGCCTTTTTCTCTGATATTTGTCCACGTAAAAATTATTTACACGATTGTAAGATATTACACATTTTTCTCTTATCTCGATAACATCACGCACTTGTCTCTTGACAACCGTTTCATTCTAGCTACAAAACATGCGCGTGCTTCTCCACGCGCTTGCATTTCATTTACGTAATACCTACTTAGTTATAATATATATATATATATATGTATATATAATATATGCAACTCTCTTTGCTTTATTTCTGTAAGTAGAGATCACAGTATATAAAAAGCCAAATATGTATCAACGGTATTTATTTATACAGACAAATATCCGTACCCTGGGAGGAAAAAAAAATCAAACTTTTTGTATATTACGAATTGACGAAATGTCCGCAAACGTCTCTTGCATTGATTATGCTTGCAAATGTCAACATATGTGCAATACTAATGTTATGTATATAATCGTCACACGATATTTCTTGTTTTATGCATCGAAATTCAAACTAGCGCATGTAATTAACACATTTTGCACTACCTTTTGTTTCAATTCTCTGATATCGCAGCGAAACTAATTTGAGAAAAAAATACTAAATGTAGAAGTTTTAGTTATTCCCGATGAGTGAGTTTTCACACGATACGGATAATCGACTATATATATACATATCCATTCGACGTAACTTGCTCTCTCTCTCTCTCTCTTTCTCTCCTTTGCACTCACACGTAAAATTTCTCATACTTTCTCGGTTTTATATTCTCAAATGCAAAAATACGATTAGTAATCTTCTTAAAACCTGTTTTCCTAATTGTATACGCGTGTCTTATTTCCTTGCTTTTATTTATTTCTCTCGCGTTTTCGAACTTTCGCATGTTACTTTTTCACAGGCAATCCTCCAAATGTAGGGTCGTGGAATGTAAGCCACAATCGCGCACCGGCAACAAACGTAGAAATTTCGAATATAAATTTTGATAGTAAAATATATATATATATATATACCTTCTCTTCTATAGATAAATTTATTTATACTCTAACTCTGGCCCCGAATTTTTCTTCCATAAAATTCTTTCACCTATTTTTCTAATAACAGAGCGTTTTTTTTTTTTTTTATCTTTCGTCTGCATTTACAATTGAATCCCCTTCGTTACGATTAGTAGTTTTTTTTTTTTTATATACATTTCCTACAACGTATGTTCGATTACACTCGGTTATAACGTGTCTTAAATCATACTCCGCTGATATCGAGCGCGAGCAGTATACAATACTTTGTTCCAAAGTCTCTTTCTTGGAACGGACGTCTAAATACATGGGAAGGGGGAGAGGGATTAAATACATAAAATCTCTTCTCTTATTAAACAGCAATTCTTGGCACAAATACGTCAAAGTAACGGAAAACCGTTTCAGCACATATGCAGTAAGAGCTTAAGAAAATCCAGTTAAATCTCTCTCTCTCTCTTTCTCTCTCTTTCCTAGAATCCGCTTTGCGTAATATATGTAAAAATGTTATTGAATTGCGCGCGCGTGCGCGTCGTTAAAGGATTTTGTCAAGCTCTTTATACCTTGTGTAGAGTCTCCTGGAAACGTTTATAACGTATAAATTTTTCTGTGATGCATCTGCATGAATGTATCTCAAATCAAGTGGAATCTCTCTTTGGGGATCAACTATATTTCGCGGATTATTCGTTTCGCCGAAAAAAAAAAAAAAAAATTAAAATCACATCACAGAGATACTTAAAATTATAAAAACAAAACAAAAAAAACAGACAAAAAGAAAGGAAAGAAAGGAAAGACCTGGTAACAGTTCTCCCTCTAGCATCTTTGTACATTAAATCGTCGTATGTATTTTTTTTTTCCTTAAGCGCGTAGGTACCTAAGTCCGTAGTACATTTTATACACATCTTGTCGTTGTAAAAGGGAAATGTTTTGCCCGACAATACGCATATCGTTCGCCCCCGTTACGAGGGGAGTGAGGGAAAAAAGAGATAGGGGCGGAATATCCGCGAAGATTCAGCTTCAGATCGAAGCGTCCTATCGGCGCACAACGACTCGACGAAAATTCACGTGAGGGCGAATCGTTTTTCGATTTGCGCCGTCGGGTGATATTGGCAATACGCGCTCTTTTTCCGCGCTTCTTTATCACACTCTTACATATAACAAACGAAAATGACTATTTTCGTATAATTGCAAGTGGCAAATTGCTTATCCCGGCTGCTAAGTAGAGAACACAAAGAATCTAATGTTGTTGACCGTAAGCTATACATATGAATCCAATATTTCTTGATCCCTTATATTTATAGAAGAGAATCCGCGTCTTTTTGCAGTGTAGAAAATGTGCGCCCGTTTTGTTTTCGCAAATTAGATTTAAATAAATTCTCTACCTAATTGCATTCTGATGACATTGTTGGAAGATTTGTCGTATCCCCGAGAGTTTGTTACGCGTGTGTGTGTGTGTGTGTTCTCGTTTTATATAAATCACTGTGTTCATAGAGTGTCTTTTTGTATTTATTTACAGAGCAATTGTTTCACATTTACACTTTCTTTCGTTTCCTTTTTGCGTCTTCCGACGCTCCAATGACGACCTTCGCGCGTGTCACCACCACATGAACGATACCAATATCTTCTTCAAATCGATGAAACAAAGTTATTTCAAACACTTGACGATTTATTATACACATTTTATATGATTCGTCGATTGGTTGTCGATATGGAATCTATTCTGCGTTGAGCCGTTTTTGGCCGTCAGTGCGTTCAGATTACGCGCGGCGGAATTAACGATTACGCGTGATCATTGCGTTCCTGCCATCGCTAGGTCCCGCGTCACTTCCTCTCTTCCGGTTCCTGATTGGTCTTAACGAGATTGTACGCGTGACTTCTGTACTTGGCAGGTGGGTCGTGCAACGAGAGGGGTTGCTGTTGCTGCTCGCTCATTGGCTGGTTCATACTAGACATCGAAAGATCTGTTGGCATGTCCGCTTCCGGTTCTTGTTCTAGTTTTGCTTCAGGACTTGCAGAAAAAGCAGCCTCTTCTTCCGGTTCAAGTTTTATTCGCATCTGATGGCGCAGCGACGATATGTTTTTGATATTCTTAAGTTCTTGTGAATTACGTAGAAATCTGCAAAAAGAACGAAAAATTTTTCTCGTCAGTAAACAAAACAAATTCGACTCCGAGCGTGAAATTCGTATTTGTAAAATTGCAGGAACATTTAACAAAGCGAATATACAAAAAATTTTGAAATTATTATTTTGTTCAAATTTATAAAATTAGCAGAAATCATAAATATTATCGTTACATCGTGTAAATCTATCACACGCAATTTTGTACAGTAATCACGTATAAAACCATAATTACTGACACAAATAATGATACTCACTGATAGCAATGTCGTTCGCCCTGCACTTTTCTAAGAATATTCACACGATAGTAATATCGCAGAGCTCTACTCATCTTGTCGTAGTTCATGGAAAGATGGTTCTTCTGTATACCCCAAAGTCGTGCCAAACCTGGCGGATCGACTATTTTGAATGTACCGGAATTCTGATCTTTCCACGCGATGTAATTCTTGTATCGCTGTGACTGATCATTCAGTAACTGCTGGAGAAAATCCCAGAGCAGTCTTCCATCTAAACAGAACCGCGAAAAAATGCTACAATATGAATGTAACAAATCGTAAGGAGCGCAATAATACTGAATAATATTTTATGATAAAGGATTTAACTAACGAATAACAGATATCTAAGGCAGATGTTTGGCAACGTCTACTCAATGTTTTTAAAAATTATTATAAATAAATGATCGTTTACTAAGCCACAGTATGACTGAAAAAACCATAGGCAATCACAGATACTAACTGGTGTTAGGTTCCGGAGGATCGCCGAAGAATTCTCTGGCGGCCGCGAGGGAATTGTTCGATCGGTAACCCGATGTCAACGACGACAGTTGCGGCAATAACTGTGTTGGACTCGGCTGGTCCTTAATGTTTACTTCGCCGTGCCTCTGTGCCGTCAAAGCGGTTGGAGTGATCGGTGGACTGTTATTGCCTCCCGACATTTGGTGATTATCTTCGTCCGAGTCGCTCTTGTAAACCTGTGTCTGATTTGCGTCAGTCGCATGGCTAGGTGAACCTGATTGGCTATCCACGGAAGGCGCTGGTGACAACGTTACAGAATTAGCCGACATCAAACTTGTGAGACTTTGGACGTAACCAGGTGCCTCTGCCCACGTAGGTGTTGGGGGATGCGAATGTGGACTAAGTGGATACGCAGATGATCTGGTTGGAGTCACCGGACTACTTGGTAAACACCTTTGCATCTGATTGAAGTCACGTGCTAACATAGCTAGAACGTTGTGTAGGACATCGCCAGCACCCGGACATCTTTCATTTAGATCCACCTTTGTGAGCAAACACAAAGCTTTTCCGTTCATCTGGAACACTTCCATATTGAACGGTTTAAGATCGAACTCGCCCTCGGCCCATCGTAGAAATGAAGCTACGTCCTCGCGCGACCACAGTCGCGGGTCGGATGCTGAAACGAGAGAAATGCACGTCTTTGTTACATGCATCCGTGATCTAAACAATTGTTGTCAGAATATAAAAACTGAAACTTTTCAAATATATTTACCCAAACTTGATGGCAAGTGTGTCTTAAAGTCCATGGCAGGACTGGGCGGCGGATGAGTTGTAGGTGTAAAGCTCATAGAGGGATATTGACGCCAAAACATCTCCGTGGATGGGAAAGGCAACGCTATAGCCGGTGGCAATCGGGAATCCATTCCGGTCATTCCGCCGGAAACTGCCGGCAGCTGAGGCAGCGATATTGGCAGTAATTTCATAACACGCCTTTAGATTTAACGATTACTGCAAAAAGAAAACGCAGATCGATCGACTTTATTAATACGCTCAATTAAACTCGTATCTCGATCGTATATCAGATATTAAATATATTTTAACGTTGACGTTAACATTCATTATTCGTTCAAAATTTTTAACTACGACCGCGTTAAATTCTGAATGGACCATAATAGGAGACAGATTTGCAGCGTGGATAAAAAGTGACTTTTAGAAAATTGCGCGAAGACGATATTAAAACACTATCTTCTATATAATAATAACAACAACAACATTTATTGAGTATACAATCGCACACGTAAGAAAATTTAAAAAACTACAAAAAAATAATATGTTATTCAAATATAAAAACCTGAAAGAAGATGACTCAAAAGAGTCGAGGCAACAGTATCAACTGCTGATTAGAAGCTGTACCAGCCTGTACCAAACAACTAATTTATAATTAAATGATCAAAGAACGAATGATATCTATATGTACATATATGTCTATCGTCGGAAATTGATCGCTGATGTACGAGCGCTTTTACCTCGCCTAACGACGAGAGCATTACGACGGGTAACGATCGCTCTCGCTGACACACAACGCCGGAAGATAATAACGACGGATTAGTTATACGACGATGACGACGGCGGCGGCAGCTTCTTGCTGTACATGCGGGAAATGTGGTATTCGTGACGGGGAGAAGAAACGCGTCGCGACGGCGCTCCGTAGAGGCGTCTCTCTTCAAGCGGTGACCGGTTCGCAGACGTTCCATCGACTATTAGCATAGAATGTAGGGGCATAAGAATGAAAGCCGGCAGGAAACGCGGATTTACATAACGTATTTCCATCGACGTCGACGAAGCTATTTCCGTTCCCGACGTCGACCCGAGACGGGCTAAGCGAAACTTCTTACCACCACAGCGCTCGACCGCGACGTCGAGAAATTCTTAGCTCCACAGCTCGAGAAAGCTTTTGCTGTTAATTTCCGAAACCCGAAGTTATTTAATTACTTGTCCAAGTTTCGAATCGAACTCCCGCTCGCTTCGCAATTCGCTCAAAAAATCGCAAACGTCCGAGAGGTAAATTTAAAAAATGATGACCTTTCGAAGATTCGTCGATCAAAATTAAGATCAGAGTTTGTTTTTTTTTATATATCGATTACTAAAAGATGTAAAAAAATCTTGTAATAATGTTAACTGCACTGGAGAATGATTGTGTGCAGAGTGACGCACGCACCGTGTTTGTTAACACAAATGAAAAACGATTTAATTGAAATGGCAATATAAAATAGCGCAATTTCCTTGTCTTAAAAATGCAGTAATTTTTATGCTCATTATGTCTTTCAATCTAGCGTTTGATTAGATAACTATAATTATTAGCTATGATTATATAATTATCAGTGTAATAACATAAACTTAATGTGTGTACTGTGTGTATACGTATTATAATTTATTTTTTTTTGTTACGCACAATGACTCGCGACTATTGCGTTAATAACTGTGTAGCGGAAAAAAAGCAGCGAAGCAAACGAGATTTATAAAATATTCATAATTGAACATAAAATCAAAAGTAAAGCATTCGATCATATCGAAATCTGCGCTTCATCATCGTTTTTTATATTGTTGCTGTTGTCAAACATTTTGAAACGACATCTATCTTATCCCGAGATAACTTCGGTTTAGAAAGAAAAAACTTCACTTATAATTAAAATAAAATAAAAAAAAAATAAAAACATAATCCCGTAAAATTTTGTTTTCTTAAATCGTCGTTTGCTATTTATACAAAAATGTTTCGCGCGAATACACTAATAGAAAAATCGCGGAACAAATGCGGTTGAGTTTCGAATCTTTCGAAATCTCAACTGCGTTTTAGACTCTAAGCGCTTAAGAAGAAGCTGGGTCCCTCCAGGAATAGGAGCCGCTTTCGATTTTTTTTTTCTTTCAACCCGTTCGGCGAACGGGTTCCGGCACATTACCAGCAGGAATCTTCTTCGTGACACTTTGAGAAATAATCGGAGGAAGCACTTGGCTCACAATGCGGCGCGGCACTTACTCGAAAGGAGAGAAAGAGAGGAATGCCCTGAGGGAAAAAGGCAGGAACCTCGGCATGCGAAGGTCGATGTGCCGTTGTCTCGCACCAGGAAATCCTGGTCGTCTTCTTCGGTCTCCTTCCTCCTCTCTCTCCGCGCGCGCGCGCTCACTCTCTCTCTTTCTCTCTCTCTTCTCCTCTCCTTTAAATACCGCGAGTGGCCTTAAGCTCAGGTGCTCCTCCTTTCGGCCGGGCAACTTTTTTTGCCGCTCGACTAATTAAAGTGGCTACTTGAAGCGGCCTCGAGGGATGAATTCGAGGACCTTTCTCGCTTTAAATTTATATCACACCTGCTTCGCGATATTGATTCTGTGTGCCTTTCAGCATACTGTTACTCTGACACGCGCGTCTTCGAAAAGTTTTAGTTTTCCAAATAAATCAAGTAGATGTTTTATTTAATCAAAAAACTTTTACGTAGCAAAACCAGGAAGAAAATCACTCACGAGCAACACGATCATATTAAAAAAAAAAAAATTAAAATTAAAGATTCAAGGAGTAAAATGTCGAAGTTGTTTCAATTTATCTCTGCGTTTAAATTAAATTTATTCTCGACACTGTCAGTAAGTAATTTTAGTGTGTCGAAATGCCATGTTCTCGGAAGGATCGCGAGAGAACGATAATCATGACAGACACACTGCCGATCTCTCGATTAGAGGGGAAGAGTAACAAGAAAACACCGGATTCTGCGGTTCCGTTCCGCGTGTTTCTCGCGCGACGTTCTCGTTTTCTTTTTACGCCGCGAACGAAGAAAGGAAAGAAGGAAGAAGCGCGACCGGCGACGCTGATTGCTCCGCGGGTCGTGGCGGAAGCGAAAATTCGCAATTGCGGCCGCGCTCGCAATTTCCGGTGCGAGCGAATCGAAGAACATAGCTGCACACAGCGGAAATGCGTTCGATCGTTTTTCTTTCTTTTTTCTTTGACGATGTCATTACAGCTGAAATTCAATAATGAACTAATCCGCGTTCGATTATTTTCTGCTTTGTATTTGTGTTTTTTTTTTCCTTTCGTTCTTCTCTTTACTCTTTTGTTCTTTTTATTTTTTTATTTTTTTTTTTAATTCTCTTTGTTACAGCATGTTTTTCTCAGGCTTCTGTCATTCGTTTTTTATTTCAATTTTCCCGACTACTTTCTTTTACTTCCTCTTCCTTCCGCCTAATGGACTTTCCCGTGACGTGAAGTACGACCTTGATTACGCCACCTTGTTTACGATCGATCCTGCAACTTTAATGACCGGGTTTTCCGACGCGAAAAAGCTCTCCGGCCGATCATCGTCGCGAATGTGTTTACATTGTCGTGAAGCATCGCGTGTCAAATAGCTCGGAAGTCGTAATGTCGAGGCGAGCGACGATAATCGCTCGTGTACGTATAGATAACATAGTTGACTGTCATTCCTCTACGATATCGTAGCGCAGCCACGTGTTTTGAATCGTCGCGCCAACTCACACAGCCATTACTATGTAAATGCGAAATTCTAATTTATCCGGGAAAGATGCAAATTGTAACGAACATCGTAAAAGTGAGCAACAAATAAAAACAAAAGACATTTTATCAAGATGCACTTTTTTTCGTCGTCGCGTAAAAAAATTCGATGCGTATAAATTATGTAACAATAACAAAAAACTGCGAAGAGAGAAAAAGTAAATAAAAAAAACCCGCTTGCAAGACGGATTTACGTAGAACGTTTCAGAAAAAAAAAAAAACAATCTGTATAGAGCAAACGACGTTTTTCTCATCTGACTACGTTGCGTAAGCGAGCAGTTCAACAGTTTTTGAATAACAAATACCTGTCACGCACTTAAAAATTTGTCTCTCTTGTCTTTAGATTAAGAACATCTTTTCTAAAGACCTGCGACACAAAAAAAAAAAAAAAAAAAAAAAAAAAAAAAAAAAAAAAACCCGATTGAATATAAATCGAGCCGACGGCTCGAGTTAAAAGATGCACGAGGACACGGTTAGACGACGTTTCTTTTTGAACACAGCGTAATCAGCGTGTGCACATAACGAGCGCGCGCGCGCGCGCTCGAGGAAGACGCTTCGTCTCTTCGCGTTTCATGAACGGCGAGCCGTAAAACACGGCATTTTGCTTCCCAGGCGACAATTTAATCCGCCGTCGGTCAAACACACGCGAAGAGCCTCCGGCTCTCCGTAATCGGTCAGTCGGTAAAGGGATTCGTGATTAGACCTCGTCATGTCCACCTCGTCGTCGTCGTCGTCGTCGTCGTTGTCGCGTTCTTTCCGCGTCGATCGTCGCTTAATGTCAGAGGTTCGTTATGCCTTATTCATATCTGGTACGTATACGCACAAACGAGCGATTGCGTAACCCGCGCATGAAGAAACACATGCGATCTGTTAAGAGTAACCGCGCGCGCGCGTACGCACACACAATCGTCTTTGCGATATCGTCCGACTCGCCTCTATTGTTGCGTGATCCAAAACGATTCTCTTCCGACGACGACAACGACGATGACGACAGCTCTAATCCTCTTTAAGTATGTGCGTATGTGATACAAAAATTTTTTAGATTGTTGTGTATATACATATCAGCGATTGATAACAAATGAGCAATATATCGTGGGAACACGAGGTCAAAGAAAACTTCAAACGTTTTAATTGAACGAGTCTATGTATGGACGATGATGCAGAGCACTACGTAAATTGAGATTACGCACAGAGAGAAGTCTCTCTCTCGGTCTCTATTAATAATTATAAAAATTCATTTTATTTGTGTTTACAAGAAAGTGTGTATCATTGCCTTATCAATAATATCTTATCCGATACAGACAGATAAGAATTTCCGCTTTATATATTTATATCTCCGTCCTCAAAGTCACTAATTGTTTTATACAAGTGCTTTAAAGGTAATAAGTGCTTTTCAAAAAAATAACTGTAAGTACGATACACGCGCCTTTATCTCACATGTGATAACATCTATTACATC